GTACTTTACTTATATAGCTGAAAAAAATTGAATAGTGAAAAAAATCTTCCTGACAATTGGACAAATATAATTTCTAAAAGACTTGCAAAATTCATTTTAAAAATTATATCATGCAGAAATGAGGAAACTTTAAGTCAAAAATATTGTGATCAGCATTGTTTGATCCCAGATAATTTCCCTGAGTAAATGTCCATTTCTTATGTTTTAAGATTAGGGAGTAAACAATTTGAATATCCTGATTTCAGTTCAGTTCCTTTAAAAGGAATACTTGTAATAGTGTGTGATAAAAATAGAATAAGTGAAACAAGAATTAACTTTCTGATTCACTGCCTACATATTTCATTTCAGATAAAGCCTCTTATGTGTTGTCTATACGTGACCATGACCCCAAAACGAACGATGCATGTGTAAAACACTACAGAATTAGAAAGATGGACAATGGAGGATTTTATATCAGTCCACGACGAACATTCCCCAGCATGATCAAACTCATAGATCACTATCAAAGTAATGTCTTAGTATTTAGGATAGATATGTATTTATTAAACTTTAAGTAATATTACAGTGTCTATGTAGAAGTTAAGTTTTTAATCATATAAGTCAGTGTTCATTTAAATATTTTAAATTCTATTTTTTACTAACAACAGATGTAGGAGATGGTCTTTGTTGCCAGTTAACTGAACCATGTCCAAAAGTAAGGCCAACTGTTCAGTTCCGTGAACTAGAAGTTGCGCGCGAGTCAGTCAAACTGATGAAGAAGCTGGGTAGTGGATGCTTCGGAGACGTTCACGCTGGTACTTAACCTCTTGTTTAGTTGAATATTCTTCATGGTCTGTTTGTAAATGAATGAATACAGCACCATGTAACATGTTTACTGTCTATACATGTATGTGTGTTTAATGTCTATACATGTATATGTGTTTATTGTATACATGTATGTGTGTTTACTGTCTATACATGTATGTGTGTAAGCTGGTGATTTAAGTTTTTGCAGTATTTTCAGTGACTGATGTTATCAACAGGTACAATTCTGAATAATGCAGGTATGCTTATTAATGGTTTAACTGAAGGGATTTAATTAATTTTAATTAAGGTAAATGGAGAAATACAGTAGATGTTGCTGTGAAGACTCTGAAGCCAGGTGCAATGTCTGCAGAGGACTTCCTACAGGAAGCTAAGCTTATGCACAAATTACGCCATCGTAAACTTGTACAGCTGTTGGCAGTGTGTACAACAACAGAACCAATCCTTATCATTACGGAGCTGATGGTCAATGGAGCCCTGCTGGATTATCTTCGCAAGGACGAGGGGAGGTCACTCAAGTTTGTTGTGTTAGTGGACATGGCATCACAGGTAATGCATAATGTTTATACCAAGATCATCTCTGCACTTCATTATTTTTTTATAGCGTACATGTGATACATGAATGTACCAGCTGTAACAAAAAATTTTCATATTTTTTACCCCATTCATGTGATCACATCTGGACACCAAAATTCATGGGAAATGAAAATATGCGGAGTATTTTGAATTATTTACCAGAAGCTGCCATTATTTTGAATTCTTGCTAACATGACACAGAAATCAGGATTGATGTGTGACTTACTGTGCCTGATTAATGTAAACAAAACATTGCTACTGAAGGTGTAAATCGATTTTTGTAATAATTACTTTGTTGTTTTAACATATCAAAACTTACCTGAGGAGAAAATTGATTTTATAAGGGGGGGGGGGGGGAGGGGTTCAATTATAACTTGTTGGAATTTTGTCAGTAGAAAGACATATCAATGAGAAAACAACATGAATCAGAGCCAACTCTGTAACAATGGCATGATATTCAGTCCATAACTTATTTGCTCTGCTGGTTTTGTCCTTTCTAATGCAGTATTAGAGAGATGCGTTACTCTCATGCTATCAAATTTAATGTGTTGTAAATATGAAATTTCAAAAGTTGCAAAATTTGCTTGCAGTAAGTTATAACACTGCATGTTATTATTCATTTGTTGATTTTTAATTTATTGATAAATATGATCCTTTAATGAGGATTTTTTGGTTGATATTTTGTACACTTTTTTGTACATTTTGATGAGCAGTGTACAGTATTTTCACCAAATTTCCAATATTTTCAAGGCTCCTGTAGAGTTTAAGTGTCTGAAATTTATCAAATCTACATGTATGTTATTGATATTCAGATGTTTGTTAAATACATTTAATATTTGCTCTTCATTGATAAATAATATTATATTGTAATGGAAAGAGAACTTATTACATTTCTGAAATATTCAATTTAAAAGCTTTCATAAATATCAGTCAGAATATGAAATATGATCATATATATATGAAATATTTATGTTAACAGATTGCTGATGGAATGGCCTACTTGGAAAATGAAAATTTTGTCCATCGAGATTTACGAGCTGCCAACATCCTAGTAGGAGAAAACAACGATGTCAAGGTCGCAGACTTTGGTCTGGCTAGGTTAATTCAGGAAGATATATATGAAGCACATGAACGTAAGCCCAGTTTCAAAAAAAATCTCTGCACTATTTTTTTTAAGAAGGCAACAATGTATGTCCTAACAAGTATTTAGGCCAAAATGAAGACCCTATTTGAGGAAATAATTGTAATTGATAAGATATAAATGTACTAGTTGATTAAATGTAAATTTGAAAATTGTGAGAAAAAAATTTAATGTCTTTAAGGTTAAGGATAATGAGACCCCTTTTTAAAAAATTTTCCTGTTACCATAGGCTGGAAAATGGTTTGTATTATGTGTCCTTTGTTAATTATTTACCCACATGGAGCAAAAAAGAGGATAAATTTGAGTAAATAAATTGATATGCCTATTCCACAGAGCCATTGTACAGAGTACATGGTAATTTAGGGGTCAAGATGATATTTAGTACCGATAGGCCAAATTGAATCCTATAGAAGTTTCTGTATTATATTTCATAGTTTCACACAAACATATATTTTATTTCAGACACAAAATTCCCTATCAAGTGGACATCACCTGAGGCTGCTTTTGACCGTAAATTCAGCATCAAATCTGATGTTTGGTCATTTGGTGTTCTACTATATGAATTAATCACTTTTGGAAGAGTTCCATATCCAGGTATAAAACTCTTGAAATATCATTATTGCAATGTTATGTGAAGAGACTTCATAGTCTGAAGAATTAAATGTGCAAAAATATAAAGATAATTGTATTTCTATAGAGGAAAAATGTAAACCTTTTTGGGGAAAAAAAGTGATTCTGAGGCATTTTAAATTTTCAAAGGTATGAATGGACACGAAGTGCTGAGTAAGGTGGAGAAGGGGTACAGAATGCCTAAACCCACAGGGGGAACTGTTCCTTGTCCAGATCCATACTATGACATCATGCTTCAGTGCTGGAAGAGAAACGCTGATTCCAGACCAACATTTGAATATTTACGAGACTTCTTTGACAACTATTTTGTGAGCTCTGAAGGCCAGTATTCTGGCGAACCGATGGGTTGATGATAAAAACAAATCGTGTGATAGATTCTCTCTCTGGAAATTCCTAGCGATTTCTAATGCCTTTTGGATTATTACATTAACTTTATCTCGAAACATTCCAGAATTATTGTTTTGTTTGAGGGTTTTCTTATGTCTTCAGAGTAAGTATTTTTCAATTATTTTTTCAATCAGGAAACACAAAAAAGGCTCAAGTAAAGTTAGACAAGATTCATAATCAGAACATCATTATCAACTATATTTCAGATTCTGTTGCAATATCAAACATTTGTTATATCTACAATACTGTGCTTGGACACAGAACTATTTTTTTATATATATTTTGATATGAAAGTTTTGTACATGCAGTTTCTGCAAACAAACTTGTCCATTTTTTTGAGTGTTGAAAATGTTGTACAGAAATAGATTGATTAGACTAGCCATGTTTGCACACTTTGAATCAATTTGTACATAGTACAAGCAAGCCTGTATGAATTGCCACTTGTCATTCCCTCATATAATTATTAACTTGTGCCTTATTGCCTTTTTTAAAGTCCTATAAAAATATGAGATTTTTTTAAATTCCTTCCTTCCTTTTACCCAATTCCATGTAATAATAAATAATAAATAAAACATATTATAAGCTTTATTTTGATTATTGCATTGTTTTCTCAAATTGTATCAAAATGATAAAGCATTCTTCCAAAGTAAATCGGTGATATTCAGTTTGCATTAATGAAATGAAGTCATTGCTTTTCCTGGGGGGAAATGTTGGTTTTTTTTAACTCGTCAATGAACAAATTTCTACGCAGAAATTGCTACCAAATAATAGTGCTTGATCTCTTTGGGAGAAGTAAAACCTTACTGATACCAGGATATACATGTATATCACATCATTCCCATTGTAAAAATACTTCTGAAAAATGACAATCAAAAAGGCACATTCCCTGTCTTCTGTCTAACACATTCCACTATCAGCTAAATCATGTCTGAAATCTGGATCAATATTTAGAAGTCTGATTTGATGTATCCAATCTTTCTTATTTCAACTGAATACATTCCTTTTTCAGTAGCTTCTGGAAAAAAATTTGAATGGCAGATGCTTGTGTTGTGAATCATATTCAAATTATTTTGTACAGATTTTTTAATACATATTGCTACATTATTTTAATAAACTATATGTAAACACTATGATTTTTTCATGTTTCAAATTTCTGTGTAGGACATGTACCAAGGTATACTAGTAGACATTTATTGGTAAAAGAAGACGGAGACTTGACAGTTGTCTGCAGTCCAATCATATTCCAGAAAAGTTTTATCATGAAGGCATTTCTTGAAAGTTAGGGGGGTTGGGGGTGTAAAATCTTCAGTGGTCAAGGACTTCATTAACTATATCCCTGTGGGTTCACCTGCAGTGGACAAGGGTTTAATCATTATAATATTGCCATGTGTCTTATTAGCCTATTGGTCTAGAAATGTATCTGAATGGTATCATTTAACAATAATAACTTGTACAGACTGGATGAATATGTATAACAATTTTTATTAAGGAAAAAACAATTGACATGTATTGCTATACAGCTGTTCTGCCAGCTCTCCAATTTCTGTTTGTCTTGCTGCACTCATCACCTCCAACACTTGACTGAAATGGAGATATAATTGTTGTATCTGAAATATCTATATTTTTTCTCATATTCATTTACATTTATTGAATTCACAAACTCATTATATAAAGGATTATTTTTCTGTATTGAAGGTGTTTTAGATGCTTATTGGCCTGACAGGCACACATTTATAGTGTGTTTACTCACATTATAAATGCAGGTTCATTTCTGCTTTTGACACAAAATCCTTTCTCCCATTTTTCCTTTTTCCTTGTGGGGAAGGTTGTTTTGATATGTTTAAAACCAGCATGAGTTGGGCGGATTTCACACCAAGGGGCGTCTGTTCAAATGAAGTGCATGAAAGCATTATAATAGGACTATGTTCCCTTCAGCTTTTATGAGCTTGTAACATTTGTAGTTTAAAAGTTTTTTGAGTGAAGTTTTATTTACACTCAGGACATAATACTTGTGATTTGATACTTTTGTGAAAGTTTATAAATAAAAATGTACAAGGAGGAAAAGGATGTTAAAATAAAAATGATGGAACACTTCCTTAGAGTGACCTTGCATGATCTCTGGTTACACACTCGTACACAAAGCTTTTTGTTACACATTATATAAGACACTGAAAATGTTCCTGAAACTCACTATTGAGTTTATTACAGAGAACACTCAACCTTTTGTCTCCGACACAAATTCAGGGCAATAACTCTTTCTCTAAAAAAAGAAATTACATAATATTCTAATAAATTGACACTTACACCACTTTATATTTGAATACAGAAAAGCCTCAGGATCCCACTAAAATCAGGAGCTCTTGTGTACGAAATATTTCCCTAACAGAAAGACTCGCTAACAAGAATTTAAACTGTATAGTTATAAACAACACATACCTGTTTCTATCATTAGTCTTTCTGAAGGTATTGAACACATTGCATCTATATTTTCCTGAGTTTTCAAAGAGCTGTCAAAGATAAATATTGAAGATGAAATATAGATGTAAAGTACATGTATAACTTTTTAGCTAACCTGAGCTGAAAGCTCAGGTGAGCTTTTCTGATCACCCGTTGTCCAACCGTCTGTCCGCCCGTCCTTCCATCTGTTAACTTTTCACATTTTCAATTTCTTCTCAAGAATTACTGGGCCAGAAAAGCTGAAACTTATGTGGAACCTTACTGAGGTAGTGTAGATTCTAAATTGTTCAAATCATGACCCCCCAGGGCAGGATGGGGCCACAATAGGGAATCAAAGTTTTACATTGAAATATATAGGAAAAATATTTAATAATCTTCTCAAGAACTACTGGGCCAGAATAGGGTGAATTAAAAAGAAAATGACCAAACGCATATTTATCAACCCACACTAAACATACAGGCAATGAAAATAGATTTCTATGTCTCAGCTTATGTCTTTAGATAGTGTCTAAAAACCTGCCAAATATCTCGTTGATATCTCATTTAACAAAAAAGTTATGCCCAAAAATGATGCTGAAATTGTCAGGAGTGCAACACCTTTTTGTGACAATTTGAAATTTCAATATTTTTGGGAGATCTGTGAAATAAATAATAATGGTTTATGTTGAAAATAAAGACTTTCCTGATAATATTCAAAGTATTGAGCTTTAAATGTGGACTGTCATAACTTCTGTTTAATCAAGTTGGGGTCATGGCTGATGTTTAAAAAAATGCTATACCATGTCAGGAGTGCAACAAATAAAATGTAGTGTTGCCAAAAAAACATCAATTGTAAAATTCTGAAAGAAAATTAAGACAAAAAAGAATTTGCAAAGTGTAAAACAATAACTGATATACATTTTAGAACTTAACAAGATGTGTTTGTGAAACACTGATGCCCTCGTATGGCAGCTTATGGCGAAGGTTAAAGTTTCTTCAAATGCAAGTCAAAATCCAGGCCAAAAGATAAAAAATGTTGATACCCAAAGAAAGGTCTTGTCTCGAGGAATACACCTGTGAAATTTGAAAGACCTAGATACAACTGTTCAAAAGTTATGGCGAAGGTTAAAGTTTTTTAAATAAAAGTCAAACGTCAAGGTCAAGGTCAAAGTGGTTGGTATCCACAGGAAGATCTTGTCACAAGGATTACATATGTGAAGTATGAAAGCCCTAGCACCAACCATTCAAAAGTTATGGCCAAAGTTAAAGTTTTTCAAAAGTAGGTCAAACTCCTAGGTCAATGTCAAAGGGTCAAAGTGGTTGGTATCCAAAGGAAGGTCTTGTCACAAGGATTACATATGTGAAGTATGAAAGCCCTACCATCAACCATTCAAAAGTTACGGCCAAAGTTAAAGTTTTTCAAAAGTAGGTCAAACTCCTAGGTCAAGGTCAAAGGGTCAAAGTGGTTGGTATCCAAAGGAAGATCTTGTCACAAGGATTACATATGTGAAGTATGAAAGCCCTAGCATCAACCATTCAAAAGTTATGGCCAAAGTTAAAGTTTTTCAAAAGTAGGTCAAACTCCTAGGTCAAGGTCAAAAGGTCAAAGCGGTGGTTGGTATCCAAAGGAAGGTCTTGTCACAAGGAATACACATGTGAAGTTTGAAACTCTAAGCACCAACTGTTCAAAAGTTATGGCCAAGGTTAAAGTTTTTCAATAGGAGGTCAAACTCCAAGGTCAAGGTCAAAAGGTCAAAGTTGTTGGTATCCAAAGGAAGGCCTTGTCACAAAGAATACACATGTGAAGTTTGAAACCCCAAGCACCAACCGTTCAGAAGTTATGGCCAAGGTTAAAGTCTCATAAAATTTTGCAAAAGTGGGTCAAACTCCAAGGTCAAGGTCAAAAGGTCAAATATGATGGTACCCAAAGAAAGGTTTTGTCACAAGGAATACACATGTGAAATACGAAAGTCATAGCTCCAACCAATCAAAAGTTATGGGCAAGGTTAAAGTTGACAACAGACAGACAGACAAACAGACAAACGGACAAACAGACAGACAGGACAAAAACAATATACCCCCGGGATCTTTCGATCCGGGGGCATAAAAATGTTATATACATGTAAATCACAAGCAGCATTAATGAGAGTCAAGTATATGTGCATACCCAATAATGACAGGAGTGCAACATTTGATGTTTTGCTCCCAAGCATGAAAAAACTATTATCATTATATGATTTTCTGATTTTTATTTTGGAAAATAAAGACACAAAAAACATTTTTACCAAATAGATTTATCAATTACAGGGTCTGTCTGTGCTTCAGATCTATATTTCTATGGTCAGGAGTGCAACACATTTTTTTAAAGATTCAAGTAGTGTGACGAAAACACTTCTATTCATGCTAAGATGTATTCATTAATTTATAATGATCTTTTTGTATAATTTAATACTAAATTATTGACAGTTTTATTATTAAAATCCTTCCTTTTTCAATTTTATCAATTCAGATGTGTTTTTATCTTTTTTGTGATTTTTTTATGAATGTTAAAAATAAACACACTAAAAAAATGTCATAAAATTCAAGTAATTCCTCCTCAACTTCATTGAAACAACAGAACAAGTTCTTATGTAATTTTCACTTCACAATTCTACTTTCAAGGCCACAATCTTTTGGTCAGGAGTGCAACAAATATGTTAGAATTATAAATCATCCAATAAAAATAAAAATAAAGAAAAAATGATGAGCAGAATTTTTCTGGTGGGTTACTGTGTTTGTCCTCTAAAGGAAAATATGCTATAAAATATATTTTATCTTCTAAATATACATTTAAGCTAGTTTTTTGGCATAAATAGGGAATAATTCCAGATAAAATGCATTTTACATACTTTCATCTGTTTTAATTGTGAAGTATTGGACTATAAGTATTGCACAATTTCATTACCACTTGATGTTGCCCACACTTTATGAGTTTTTGTGTTCTATGGTTTTAATTTTAAACTTTCCTGCAGTCAGGAGTGCCACAAAACTGCTTTATAATTACTAATGCTTTTTAACTATCTTTACTAAAAAATAAGTTGAAAAAAATGTTTGATACTATTTGATGTTCAAAACACTATGTCTATCAACAAATTACAGAAATTTTACAGTCAATTCAGGGAATAGTTTTCATCATTTCAAACATATTTTTAAATACAATTTACATATATTACACTTTGCAAATAATCATGTTTTAAGGTCTTTGAATATGAAAAGCCTGCCGTAAATGATGAAAAATATCAAAACAACAAATTGATTTTCAAAGTAAGAATGGGTTATTGTGTGTTATAATTTTTAAAACAATGTTAAATAAAATACATATCAGATGTTAGGAGTGCAACAAAATAATGTAACATAAGGTCTCTTCAAAATCTAGTATTTTTTGTAAGAGAACTCGAATATAACAATTCTTTTTTGGCTTAGATTTAAAGAATTGACTTGAACGGACAAAAAAGTGAATTTTGGGGAGTTTTATTGCTTCACATTTTTTTCATATTAAAACTTTTCAAACCAGAATTGAAAAAATAATGTAAAATAACAATCAAAAAGCCAATTTTTCATTACATATACAAGAGAAGATACTCAATCAAGGTCTAGATTTAATCATTTATACCCCTTTTACCATTTTGAAACATAAAAAACTATAATTTCTTGTGATTATGTATTTTAGAAAGTCTTTTAAGGTGTGTTGATATTTTCTTTTTTCAAAAGAAATTTTAATAATGAAAATTCTGAAACTTTTTAATCCTATTGTCTATTCTATTGCCACTTTAGGATTTTAAACTAGAATGCATGTACAATATGATGATATAAGTGAAAAATATGTTATAAGGAGTTGAATTTTTCCAAAAAATTTCAGTTTGGTGGTCATTTTTTTGAATTCACCCAATAGCTGAAACTTGTGTGGAAGCCTTTTGAGGTAATGTACATTCTAAATTTTTCAAATCATAGCCCCCGGGGGTAGGGAGGGGCCACAATAAGGAATCAAAGTTTTATATTCAATTATAAAGAAAAATCTTTTTCCAAATAACTACTGGGCCAGAAAAGCTGAAATTTATACGGAAGCTTCCTGAGGTAGTGTAGATTCTAAATTGTTAAAATTATGACCCCAAGGGTAAGGTGGGGCCACAATAAGTATCACAAGGGGGAAAATCTGGTGAAGAACAGCAGGGCCAGTTACTCAGGTAAGCATTGTGGCCCATGGGCCTCTTGTTTATCTACATTTGCTGTTTTTGAATGTAAAAGATGAAATTGAAACAACCAATCTAAAGCATGTTTCAATTGTCTACAATATGATAGACTTGATTTAGAGTAATTTATCCACTAACCATCCATTGATTCCTATATATAAGTCCTGTTCTACAATCTCCCTGGCCTCGGCCGCTGTTCCTGTGAAGGAGTGAACCTGTAACAAGTTTACAGAGCACAAATGGTATGTCAGAATATATAGACTACAATACATGTAATTAAAGATGACATACTGATGGTGCTTAAGCAGTGATGTGCTGTAAACCAACTATTATTCATGACAACTTTTATTTGGGATTCGTCACTTTGAAAAAATTGGCAACTATTAATTTTCCCAGGTGAGGGAATATTTTACATGAATAGACAACTAAATAAATGGTTCGCATCAAGAAATACTCACAAGTAAAGGAAAGTTGTGAATCTCAAAGAAATTTTTCATGTGCAAATAAAAGTTGGTGTATTAAATAATTTCTTTGCTTTGTTGGAGTCTTAATAATTGTTCTCTGCCTCCTCACACAATCCATCTTTATGAATGTAATATGTTTATTTGTCACTTTTTTTTTCATTGTAAACTTACCACACCTCCTGACATTCTATCTCTGTTACGTTTGATGATATCTATGAAATCTGTGTGACAGTTGCGACTGTGAAGAAACATGGGCAGTTTGGTTGTTTCTGCAAGGTCCATTTGTTTTTCAAAATATCTATATAAAAAATTTTCTCAACAAAGTCATGCTTTATTGATCTGAAATATAATTACAAAATACATTTCAAAAAAAAGAAGGAAAAAAAGCCTTACTTATCACAATGGTTTGCAAAATAAAAATGAAACTTACTTGAGTTGAATTTCCTTTGGACAGAAATGGAGACGATCATAGTCTGAAATAATAACAATATTCACGTAGTAATGGAGCAGAAGAGACTAATGATACTCATGTAGTAACAGAGCAGAAGGGACTTTAACGATACTCAGTTAGTAATAGAGCAGAAGGGACTAACAATACTGAGGTAGTAACGGAGCAGAAGAGACTAACGGTACTTATGTAGTAACGGAGCAGAAGAGACTAACAATACTCAGGTAGTAACAGAACAGAAGAGAGTAACAATACTCAGGTAGTAACAGAGCAGAAGAGACTAACAATACTCAGGTAGTAATGGAGCAGAAGAGACTAACGATACTCAGGTAGTAACAGAGTAGAAGAGACTTATGATACTCAGGTAGTAATGGAGCAGAAGAGACTAACAATACTCAGGTAGTAATGGAGCAGAAGAGACTAACGATACTCAGGTAGTAACAGAGCAGAAGAGACTAACGGAATTTTTTTAGTAACGGAGCAGAAGAGACTAACGATACTCAGGTAGTAACAGAGCAGAAGAGACTAACGATACTCAGGTAGTAACAGAGCAGAAGAGACTAACAATACTCAGGTAGTAACAGAGCAGAAAAGACTAACGATACTTTTGTAGTAACGGAGCAGAAGGGACTAACAATACTCAGGTAGTAACAGAGCAGAAGAGACTAACGATACTCAGGTAGTAACAGGGCAGAAGAGACTAACAATACTCAGGTAGTAACAGAGCAGAAGAGACTAACGATACTCAGGTAATCATGGAGCAGAAGGGACTAACAATACGCAGGTAGTAACAGAGTAGAAGAGACTAACGATACTCAGGTAGTAACAGAGCAGAAGAGACTAACGATACTCAGGTAGTAACAGAGCAGAAGAGATTAACGATACTCAGGTAGTAACAGAGCAGAAGAGACTAACGGTACTTATGTAGTAACAGAGCAGAAGAGACTAACAATACTCAGGTAGTAACAGAGCAGAAGAGACTAACAATACTCAGGTAGTAACAGAGCAGAAGAGACTAACGATACTCAGGTAGTAATGGAGCAGAAGAGACTAACGATACTTTTGTAGTAACGGAGCAGAAGAGACTAACAATACTCAGGTAGTAATGGAGCAGAAGGGACTAAAGATACTCAGGTAGTAACAGAGCAGAAGAGACTATTCAATACTCAGGTAGTAATGGAGCAGAAGAGACTAACGGTACTCAGGTAGTAATGAAGCAGAAGAGACTAATGATACTCAGGTAGTAACGAAGCAGAAGAGACTAACGATACTCAGGTAGTAATGGAGCAGAAGAGACTAACGATACTCAGGTAGTAACAGAGCAGAAGAGACTAACAATACTCAGGTAGTAACAGAGCAGAAGAGACTAACAATACTCAGGTAGTAATGGAGCAGAAGAGACTAACGATACTCAGGTAGTAACAGAGCAGAAGAGACTAACGATACTCAGGTAGTAATGGAGCAGAAGAGACAAACGATACTCAGTTAGTAACAGAGCAGAAGAGACTAACGATACTCAGGTAGTAATGGAGCAGAAGAGACTAACGATACTCAGGTAGTAACAGAGTAGAAGAGACTTATGATCCTCAGGTAGTAATGGAGCAGAAGAGACTTTCTGTTCTTTTGGATTCTAAAAATCATTGTTCTATCCCTCAAATAATAATTTCTGTTCAATCCCTCCATTAAATGAAAAGGGAAAGACAAACAAACAAGTTTACAAATGAAATATTCTTCATATTCTCCATCACTTTGTTTCAAAATTGCCTACCTGTCTATAATTGGGATTTCTTTGCTCATTACCTACCTAGACCACATTCTCCTACAGCCACGACTTTGTCTTTGTTAGTGACAGTCAGATCTAGCAAACTCTGTAGATATTTCTCAGAGTCATTCTTTGTAAACTCCTGGCATCGGGTTGGGTGGCAGCCCACAGTGCAATAAAACATGTCTACAGCAGCACAATAATTTTAATCCATCAATTTTTCCCCATTGTTTTTCATTCATTGGTTTTGCATGTATATTTTCAGACAAGTGTGTTAAGGAATATTCTGAAGATTTACTTGAAAGAAGGAAATTGCATTAAAAAATAAATCAATTTTTGTGGATATATAACATATACTATAAGATTGTTAAAGTCTTTGATCCTCATCTTAGCTTTGTCTTGAACTGTTTCAATCCTGACTAATTGGTATCTGACTAAAGGTACATATTATTATTCTCTTCAGTTGCTATTCAACTATAGCTTGAATTGTCTCCTTCAACCCCCTTTTCATTAAAATATATTTACATTCCAAATGTATTTTGCTTATAAAGTGTGTGGAAAGCTACAGCATTCAAAACACCATAACAAGGACCGGGGGTTAAAAGGTTTAGGTATACACTTTATTGTGACATCACAAACTCTGAATGCCATGGTATTGCAACGTCATAAGCGAAAATCAAAATTCACGCTCACATTGAACAGGAGCTGATGCAATGGCTCTTCCATTAATTGTAACTTACCCGAAGGATAATACAGGTATTTTGATATAAAAATCATATTTGCAGTCAAGGCAAGGAGTTAAAAAAATGTAAATATAAGCATTGAATCATTATTTTTTGAAAGATATAGTCTCATAACTGCAACCGTGTGCAAACAAATTTTCATAACGCGCTAACACGTTACTCAATTTGTTTATCCACATTGTTGCAGTAATGAGACTACATCTTTCAAAAAATAATGATTCAATGCTTAAATATAAAATATTTTAGAATGCAACCAAGCAATTTTTTTCTGGATTGAAATCTAAAGTTTGGCTCAAGTTCCTTTGTATTTTGTCTGAATTCACAATGATTAGATATAAATATCTGTTTTTATGATGAGATGAAACTTTTCATCCAAGTCTGTTCTGCAATCTTTACCATTTGTCTTGGCGAGTTCTAAAGCCTCTTTACATTCCTCGAGATAGCCTCCCGTGATCATCATCTGTGACAACAAATAAATGATTTACATAAACATGTATTGTACAGAGCAAACATATGAACAATATAAAAATTTGATATAAATAGTTTACCTTTGTCATACCCACATCTTTAGCTCTTGCCATTACATCGTCAAAATCATCTATAAAGAATATTAACACCTCTATTATAAAAAACCCTGAGGTTCAAAATAATCCAAAAAAAAATTATAAATGCAAACTTATTGTATCCATGTACAGTATATAATAATGCACCAGACTGATCTACTCCTGCTCATCAAACATTGAACAGCAATTAATGCATGAATATAATTATATTAATTATATATTATACCTTGATGTTTTGTGGAATTGTGATAGACACCTCTGAACATGGGGTCTGAAATATTAAGTTTTTAGAACAATGAAACATTTATGTTTATTTTTTTATATAATAAAACATTAGTCAGAGAGAGAGAGAGAGAGAGAATGTATATGTCAGAAAAACTCACCTGTTAAATTGACACCTATATCTAAAGAAATAAATACAAAAAAAATTAAAAAGTATACTTTAAGAATTTTCAAAATATGTGGTATTAATAGTGTAAGTGCCACATATGTAGAAATTTAATACCCCCCCCCTTCCCCTTTTGAAGAAACTAAAAACGACAGATTCACATATATGTCTCTGATGGTACCCTTGAAACAAAGACTATATTCATTCCTTACCAATAAATTTGTAAAGTGTATTTCTAACGTTCACTGCTAAAGCCATAGTTTAATGTTTACAACATGTGTCACACTGTCAACCACAAGGAACCTGTCATTTCTTTTTTTTACATTGAGATCGAAATTTTCTTAGAATATTGAACCCGATGTATATATTCCACTTTAATTATTTCGTAATTTTTTTCTTTTTTAATCACCTTTTTAAAAATTAATTTCGAAATTTAATATCTTCTTATTTTCAAAATTTATCATGCAATGAAATTATACTTATTTTACTGGGAAAACATAGGATAAAAAAGATAGAAAAAAACATTGTACGAGTTATTTAGTAATCCTCGACAATCTGTGACGTCATGCTTGAGCGGCGAATTTAATCAACACAGATGGTGGATAATTTTTGAGCGTCGTTTTGAGCCAAAAGAAATGAAATTGAACTCAAACGATGGGGCTCGGAGGAAACTCCAGTTTGTTCCATCGTCACAGACAACGTACTATCTCGATATTTCTTCCGATAAAGTCAAAGCAAAAGCTGTTCAGAGAATTTTGTTGTTGCATGGAAAAATCGAGGAGTTTTTGTCAAAAGAAGTGAATTTGGTGCTTACAGATAGAAATAACATTGCTAAAGAAGAAGTCCCAACTTCAGACGTAACACAAAAACAGCTGCTACCATTTAGTAGAGGTAATCCATGTACTCTTCTCTCTCACTCTTAACTTTATTAAAAAAAAAGTCATTGGCCAGTAATTTCGTTTTATGTGCCTATACATCCATCGTTAATCATTACAGTACAACTCGCTTAGAATGAACACATATTTAGCGAGTTTACTTTTTTTTTGCATTCCCCTTCAAAATTCTTAACAATTCCAAGTAAAATTTTCTGATATAACAAATTGACCGTTACAGCGAACGCATTTTGTGTCCTGTAGAGGTTAAAAGTAACAAGATTTATATTTTATACAGCAAATTTTTAAGATCTGAAAATTTAAAATATTAAACTGATATCATTTTCTTAAAGTATTTATATTTCGAATTCAATTTATCTGAAAACTTTCGTACCCCAAAATAAGTTTTGTATTTACCACTTCCTGAACATATTCGGTATTCATACTTGAAGGGATTCATGTATATTGTGAATTAGATAAATATATTTAACAAATTTATATCATACGGAGATAACAAATTACAGATGTAGTGAAGTAAATTCACAAGTCCTCAGGACTTCCCTATGACCGAGTTATAACGTATTACTTTAATCTTATGTGTAAATTTATATTGATGTTAAGTGTAACTTCTATATCACTGAGGAAAATATTTAAATTTAATTTTGCAAATGAATTTTTTTTTTTGGGTTTGTTTTGTTTTGCTTGCATAAATGCCATGCATACAAAATGGTATTTAAAAGGCATTTTTGAAATAAGTATTGAATACATATTTCCTATCATTACAGGAAAAGCTCTTTTACTTAAGGCAGCAAAACGTAAAAGTCTTCCAAATGACCCAGTACAAAATGCACATATACTTGGTGTAGATATTCAGAAAGTCTCAAAATTCTTAAAAGACACAGAATGCATTCATTCAAAAGAGAAGAAAAGTCGGAACAAGGCAGGGATGTTGGATGGAATAGAACCTCTCACCTGGGCAGAAAAAGAGAACTATCCAGTTGTGAAGTGTGAAGACATGTTAAAAAATTATAAACCTCTAATTAAGAACTTTGATGTCTTTCCACATGTTAAATATGATCCTGAGTTAGCATCTCCCTTTGATAAAACTGCTATGTTACTTCGGAAGTCAAAAGAAAATGTCAATCGCTATGCTGTTCAGAAACAACCTTTGTCCATCTCCAATAGAGGGGGTTTTTGTGAAGCATGTGACCACTGGTATAAATGCTCACTGCGACAGCACTTAAACAGTGATAGACATTTAAAATTCATCAAAGATACCACCAATTACAAGGTACTAGATGAAATTATGCAGAAATTGCCATCCTTAGAAACATTTGCAAAGAAGTTCAATCTTGGTGAAAAGACACTGTATAAAAATGAAACCAAGGAAGAACCAGGATATCAAGCATCAGTGCCAGAGGAGGGAGAGGATGGTACGACAGAACATGGAGAAGTGTTCCATAGCTGTACTGTCGAGGACACTGTCATAAAAACTACAGTCAGTTTCTACAAAGAAAATAAAACTGATTGCAATCACAAACATGGGTGTGAAAATAAAAGTGAACATTTAGAAGACTTACCAAGTAGAGCCATGCAAAATCAAGAAATGAAGGATAAAAAGAAAGAAAGTGATGTGTTAACATCACACAAACAGGAAGACAATAAGGATCTAGAGATTCCTGGTATTTACTTTAGTCCTATTCACTCTCCAAGCTGTGTGTCGGATAATCTTAGTTTTGCAGACCTGGCAAACCGCTGGATGGCAGACATCAAATCAGCATGTGTAACTGCTAATAAGGACTCCCATTCATTTCTCCTTGATAAAAACACCAAAATCCAGCCCTCTGGTCCACATCAGCATACCACTGACCCAATCTGTAAACCAACATCCTCAGTAAGTGATTCCAAGTCCATGTCAAGTGTTGACTGTGATGATAATGTACTGTTTCAACAGTCAGCGACTGTATCCTCTAAGGATTCTGCCTCCTGTCTCACATCTTCCAGTGTTAATCCTGTGCCAAATAATGTAACAGATTTCTCAAACAATGATCCATCACATACAGCTAATGTAAATATGGAGGCAACAAAGTCAAATATTTTAAACCATGTGGAGAAAGACATTGTTGAACTGACCACCAGCAAAACTCCACAGCCAGCTGTCCAAGCTAAGGTTCCAGTCAATAGAAGGCTGACATATTCCCCTTGTGTAAGCAAAGCTGACAATGATGCTGATAACCCACCACTTAAAGACTCACTGGAAAACAAAGAGAACCAACAAAATGTGTATCTGAAAGAACAAGTACAACAACCAATAAAAATCAAGATCAACTTAAACAGTTTAAAGGTCAATCCTAATGTCCATTTGGTCAAATCTCATAGAAAACGCCGTAGGGATAGTTCCTTGTCCAATGTGTACTGTGCTGTTCAACAAAGTGACATGAAACTTAAACTGTGCAAGGTCAAGGTCACACCTGTCCAACAGAATGGAGATCTTCGACATTACTGGAAGGTGCGTAAATCTGGAGGTTGTCGCCTTGTGTTCAGTGCCGAGAAAAGAAAGGCAAGTGAGGAGGGGGATTATACAGCATCAAAAAGGAAACGCATTGAGATGCAATAGACATGTCTATCCTGTAGTTTGTTAACACAGATTGAGCTAGAATGATAGTCTTGTCTTCAACATATTATTTTTAAAACTATTTTGTTGCCTACATAGAATGAAATTGGTTATGTTAAATATAAAGGTACATTTTTTAGGTCACCTGAGCCGAAGGCTCAAGTGAGCTTTTCTGATCAAAACTTGTCCATTGTCTGTCATTGTTGTCATAGTAAACATTTTACAATTTCATCAGATCTTCTCCAGAACCACTGGGCCAGTTTCAAACAAACTTGGCACAAAGTGACTTTGGGTAAAGGGATTTAAGTTTGGTCAAATGAAGGGCTGCACTCTCTTCCACAGACTCACTAGCCAAGGATTTCTGATCTACTACTCTTCTGTAGAAGATCAGAAACCATTGGCTAGCGAAAATGCCTCTTCCAAGGCACAGTAATTAAGAAATAGTGTAAATTGGGTGGGTTCATTTAAAGATCTTTTCAAGAACCAATGGGACGGAACTTATGTGCAAGCTTCCTGACAAAGTGTAGTTTGTTCATATCATAACCCTTTGGGGTAGGGTGGTGCCAGTGTGGGCCATCAAAGTTTTAAATGGGGCCACAATGGGCAATCAAAGTTTTAAATAGGAATATATAGGAAAGATCTTTTTTCTCTGGAAAAGCAAATCCATGTTTAGTCATATTTAGACAGAAGCATCCTCAGGTAACTTCGATTAAAGTTTGTTCATATCATGAACCCCTGGAGTAGAGTGAGGCCACAATATGTGTTCTTAGTTTTACAAATTATATAGGGAAAAGAATCTGCTGCTGAAGAACGGAAGGGCCATATAGTTACTCAGGTGAGTATTGTGGCCCATGGGTCTCTAGTTATAGGCACACATGGAATCTCTTTGAAAAACTTACACATTTTAGTTTATATTGTGAAATATTTTCTGCTCAAAATATTTCAGAACGATTCCTCCAGTTTTTGTATTTATAAATGTGTAATAACTTACTGTATGTTCCAGAATTTACAGGTTGAGATTATGTTATACATTAGAATGTTATCTTGATATGATTGTCCATTTTTTGTCTCCACTGTGTATTGTGTATTCTTAAAATTAATTTCTATGTGACATGTATTTATTTATATCTCTAAATTATGATTTTGTTTTATCAATACATATCATGGATGCTTATTAATATACATTGTACATTACCACTACTACAAGCCTATTGTCCAGTAATCAGTTCCCTATCAAATCATACCATGACATATCTAGTAACAAAGTATATACACAGCATAGCATAAATCTGAGACACATCATTTGATATGTATTCATTCTTTTTCTGGTCTTGATCACTCAAGTCACACAGAAAATGTTGTACTTTACAGTCTTTTTACAATCAGGATTCAGATCCAAAATGGACTCCTTTGTATCATAGAAATATGACAGACATTTTCAGTAATTTTTAAAATCCAAACTATTAAGTTATGTAGTTTTTAAGATGATCTCATTTTATTTTAACCAATCCTTTGTTGTGATATGTTTTTTTTTTCTTCTCCACCTAATGTCTTTCAATTTATTTAATGAAGTACACTGTATTTGAAACCATTTTAAACACTAGCTGTGACTGATGTTAAAGAAGATAAAAACTTCTACTTATTTAATATATTTAAATTTGGTTGTGTTGTCTTGATTTTAAAATTTATAATATACCAATGTAATTTTTAAAGAAAGAGGCATGAAATAAATTTTATTCTTGGTTGTCGGTCTTAATGTTACAATATAATGCACCTTATGTAACAGGGATTGGGTACATCGGCCTGGTAGCTCAGTGGTTAGAGCACCCAGGTTAGCGGGAGGTCCCAGGTTTGAGTCCCAGTCTGGCCGACATTTTTCCCCACCTGTTACATTTTGGCGCCCACATTGGGACCCGAACCCAAGACCCTCAGACACTATAAGCCTTAACAAGGGCATACCTCACAATGTAGAGACATTACATCCTCACAACATCAGTGGTCCCATGTCAACTCGTTGCTGAGGGATCCCTGACAAACTTCATTCCATATCTTATAGGCTGAGTGATGTCTTTCCAGAAAAGTACAAATCTGGATTGTTTTTCTGATCCCTCAACCAATTACATTAAGCCTTTCGGTGATAAATGTGTAGCACATGCGTTTGTCGTGTCAGCTGATTCTGTTTACATTATCTGTCTACTTCAATTTGATTGGTGCTTCTCAATGAGAGAAGCAAGCCCATAAAAAAAAAAACCAAATGAAGTTTGTCAGAGGTCCCACAGAATGAGTTGACACCGGACCCCTGATGTTGTGATGATGGGGACGGTAGTGTACATAATTTTTACAATTTAATAGATGAAATACTGTACAGCAGCAAATCTGGCATTAAGATTCACTAACATTAGAGTTGTAACTATACAGCAATATACATTGATCAGATGTCTATACAATAAATGTATCGTCATTCAAGAGTCGTGATATAGGAAGTCTTTTTTTCCCCACTTTACAATAACTTGATAAACTACATTGTGTCCAAAAGCATGATGACTATAAATGAATATCAAAATTACAAACTCATTCATTTCTATAGTTACTTTAACAGGTAATCAAATTGAATTGCTCAACTTAATCGAGAGTGTAACTGTTATGCCTTTTTTTTCATTCTGCAAAATGGAATTGAAGAATTCTCTTGTGCATCTGTATTGTGATATGTATTGTATCGCAGTCATCAGTGATACTCAAGCCTTCTAATGATGCGTAATTAGTTCATTACGGTACTTAAGGTAGATAAGCTGGTGGCGCTAATTAAATTCTTGTTAAACTTTTCAAAATGTGTACTGCTGTGCTATATCTACAACTTTTCATATACTGTAAAATCATAAGGATTTGTGAGGAACCATTGTTCACTGGTTTGTGGGTCACCCTTACCCCACTAATTGTCATTCCCATGAATGATAGCTTTGTCAATATCTTTTGTATACAGTCAAACCTTGTTATCTCAAGCTTAATGAGACCAAAAGAAAACTTCAAGATATCTGAGGATTCAAGATATCCAGGGTAAAATACAGAATAAGGGGTTGGGACTTCCAAATCAATTTGACATATCCATGGTATTCGAGATATCAGTATTTGAGATACCAAAGTTCAGCTGTATATGAGTAATCCACAAAGTTACATCCTCACCAACCAGTAAAATTTCAATTCCCCACATATTAAGAAAATTCCACAGTATTGAAAACACATTTTACATCTCTATAAATCTTCTTTCTTCATGGGCATCTAGCAAGCAAACAGCATGAAAGTAATAAGCAGGTAGCCCTTTATTGAAAGTTTCAAATTCCTTTTCCCTGGGTTTAGGCAACAGGGTGAAACTAGGTTATTCATGTACTGAAAATACATTACACATATGGAATTCTTTCTTTCTCATGGACATCTATATTTGTGGGAATATAATAAGGGTAAGAACCTTTACTAAACATGTTATCTTTCAAATCTTCTTTATTCCTATGTATTTACAAGACAAGAGGCCCAAGGGCCTTGAATCACTCTTCTGATAAACTGTACGACCTGTCAATTCTATTTGAAGCCTCTAAATATCTTGTATATTTAGATCAAGCCTTGAAAATCAAAAAAATAGGTCATAATGACCTACACTTTGGCTAAAACATTCTAAGAACCCAAGATAAATCAACTGACAAAAACTGATGATTTTAAGACAATTAGCATCTGAAATACTAAAATATCATAAAATTCAAAATGTAAGTCACAATGACCTACTTTCAGTTGAGGTTCTCTGGCAATTCAAGATGCAACAACTGACAAAGTTTGATGATTCTAAGCCAATTCGTACCTGAAATATTTAATTATATCCATAAAATATCAAAAGTAGGTCACAGTGACCTACTTTTCATTTGACATACTCCAAGGACCCAGATGCATCAACTGACAAAGTTTGATGATTCTAAGCCAATTAGTATCTGAAATATTTAACTTTAGCCATAAAATTTCAAAAGTAGGTCACTATGACCTACTTTTCATTTGACATTCTTGGAGGACCCAAGATGTATCAACTGACAAAGTTTGATGATTCTAAGCCATTTAGTACCTGAAAATATTGAAATATAGTCATAAAATTTCAAAAGTAGGTCACAGTGACTTACTTTTCAGTTGTTCTCTGAGGACCCAAGATGCATCAACTGACAAAGTTTAATGTTTCCAAGTCAATTAGTACCTTTTCTAATTTGTGAATTATTTTGAAAACTTTATTAATCACTGTTTAACCTGCATTACCAGTATGATTTTACCTGTTGAAACTACATGTATTCTGAAAATAATTAGAACTCTGCTAACACAGTATAAGATTGGTTTGAAAAGGAGCTTCCTATACACTGTAGTTCTTCATGTTTTCCTTACTGATGGATGATGTGACGTCTTGTATTATGGTGATAATGAAATTACCGGTATGGCAACTGAAACTATTTCACAGTTTATTCTGAAAACAGGATATCTCATTACCTGGTAGTTTAGAGATAAGATCTCTTAATTTCAGGTGATATCTCTTATAATGATTAGATATCTCTACAATTTTTGTTTCCATCATAAATAATAAGATGGCTTGCCTGTGGTAAACAAAGTTGGAATAGATTTTTTTTTATCACAATTCATCTCTTATAATGATTAGATATCTCTACAAATTTTGTTTCCATCATAAATAATTTAAGATGGTTTGCCTATGATTAAAAAGTTGGGATAGATTTGCATGAAACATGATGGCATTTAAACATTTATGTAGACAGACAAGATTGTGCAGTAATCTACCAATTGCAAATGTCCTCTTTCACACTTTTTGCAATTATTCAAACCTAAATTTCATGAAAACGCTTAAATTCAGAAACAGTTTTTGATTGTCGTATCAAATGCAACACAACTGCAATGGATGACAAAAAAGAACACTTAATGCAAAATATTCTTTTAAAAAACTTGGTAATCCTTTATCACAAAATCTAAGGTAAGGTTATACAGGA